TGTTCCCCAGCTAATTAAGGATGCAATCCCAAAAATCACTCAATATGCAACACACACGTACACCGGCAGCTGAATTGAAAGGCAGTGCCACGCCCACTTAAGACAAGTGACGCCATTCCCAAGCCATTTGATTTGGAATTGAGATTGGGCCACTGCTGAAATGCGAGAATAATGCTCAATATATCTTTCGATTTGCACTCGCACTGCATTGGCTTTAGTCTCAGCTGTAAGTTGTGTGCGTGTGTGTGTGTGTGCCTGAGTGTATTGGTGTGTTGGTGTGTTGGTGTGTGAGTGTTGTTGTCGCCTGCTGTGCTACTAGCTGCTTGCCTCCATTTGGCTTAGCGTCCGGGCCATCACTCGTCCTGCCTCTTGTATGCTTATGCCGTAGTAAACAACATAAATTTTTGTTAAAGTCAACAGGACGAACATTGGCTGCATATCCTTCGCGCTATGGCTATGCACAACAACTGCTTAAATCCATCAGGGAATACACACACATATATATATATATACAATGTATATGGCATATATTTAGTTATTTAAACATATCTCTATATACATATGTATATAATGTTAACTCGTTTCTCAGCTCGACACAGACTGAGCTCAGATTTAGTTTGTTTTCGTTCGAAATTCTTTAAGCTGAAAACTTAATATAACTTTAATGGGTCTATTTGTAGTGCTTTAGATGTGAATCGAGTTACTTCAGACGAGTTTCTCTTAATTGCGAACTAATTGAGTTTTTTAATTAGCCAGCTCTGCATTTGCCTTACCCGCTGGCAAACAAATGGGTCTTTAAACTAACGAGGGAGAGAGACGGAAAGAGAGAGAGAGAGAGAGAGGGAAAGGGGAGAAAGAGAGAGAGAGAGATAGAGACTGAGATTTTTCTATAATTATCCTATCATATCAAAGTTTATTTGGTTGACCTATATCGATATATATTACTTTATATAGGACATATGTATATAACTTTATAGTAAGCAATCTCTAAGGATATTTTATTTACTTCTTAGGCAAGATTTCCTATAGAGGTTCCGTATTTTATTTTCTTCAATCAGGGCTCCCAGCCCACACCATAACAATATCTGGAAATAAATTCGAATGATCTTAATACGCATATAGCAATAGCATTATACTACCTAATTTGCTATAAACGGAGAGCCATTGTCTATCTAAATGAATGAAATGCATCTGCTCATGTGAGTAGCTCCTGTGTCGTCGCATCGACTTATTTCTCATTTATGCACATCTGTTGCGTTGCGCTTGAGTCATTGCCTTGTGCAGAGGGGCGCCTGTGTACACTGAGAGAATATATTGAAAATGCTGGCTATCAATAGGTTACCTATCGAGAGTCGATAGGTTACCTATCGATAAACAAAAATGCATTATTGACTTCTCTGACTGCATTGTATGTAATAGAATAAAAGGAACATTTGATATATGTAGGTATATAAATATCGATAGCTGAGTGTGTGGTCGATAGTCGCAGAGACTTGATAAGTGATCGTTAGCAATTGGAACAGTCTGCAGCAGATACTTATCGATAATATCCGATAGTCCGCAAACTCTGCTCTATAGTAATGAGCTTCCAGCTCATATACTTGAGTATTTCTTGCGGTGTACTTAATGTGGTCCTTTAGCTGGCAGACATGCTTACCGCGCTGCTACTGCCCCGCCTGGCGCATCATGGGCACAGAAGCCAGAAGCCCGCATCCGTCTGCTATCAGTTTTCCCAGCTGTGCACACATGGAGAACACAGGGGGAGACGGGAGAGGGAGAGGGAGAGAGAGCCTCGATGTCATTTTAAAGTCAAGTGAGATACCACTTGGCACACACGCACACAGACACAGACACAGACAGAGACAGAGACAGAGGTGTAAGTCAGGTGGTTTGCCTAACCAAATTGATTGATTTGCTCAATGTCTGCGTTGGGTTTTAGTCTAACTTAAGCAAATGCCATAAATATTTAAGCACACACACACACACACACAGAGGGCAGGGGGCGAAACATAAAATTGTGATTTGACAGTAGGTAAGGGGGTGAGAGGTTAGGCTATAGGGGTTAGCATTTAGGGACTGAAAGAACTTAGCCTGGATGCTCAGCTGGCTGCGTGTGTTCGGTTGGCTTTTTGTTGACTCATGGCTCATTAGCCCGAAAGCCAGGCCACTGAGAAATGTCCCCGACCAACTGGGACAGCCGACTGTGATTACAGCCACCAGAGAGGCACACAAGCACACACACACATACACACACACACGTACATATGGAAGCGTGCTTTAAGTTGAGAAACCGATTAAATTTGTTGCTACAAATGGGCTTCACACCTGTTGCCACAAATCGAAGCGAACCCAACTGGCAGCTCTGGTTCGATAATTGAGTGGCTCCAAGGAACGGTTCGTTCGTGAACTTCCGTTCCACTGATCTCTCAATCAGCTCACGAGTTCATTTAAATAAGACGTTCAATTGACCCGATTCGACGTTGACATGGACATTCAGCCCGGGCTAAGTAACCGGGAGCAGGTAACGAGTACTCGCTGTCAGTAACGAGTTATCGGTTAACGTGTGAGCACTTGTGTTTGTGTTTGGGTTGGTGCTTGTTTACACTGAAGTGCGCACCCACACAATCACTCACACATACACACGTTTAATCTGTGGCACGCTTTGAGTAGCCATTTGCTTTCCAGTCAGCTCGTCCATGAAGTGCAAAATAAATACAATAAAAATCGTTAACGACCAACAAAAAAAAAAAATAAAAAAAGAGACGAAAAGAGAGAATGCTAAGGGGCTGAGGTGCGAGGGTGTGTGTGTGTGTGTGTGTGTGGTTGTACGGGTTAAGGGCTAGGGTTAAAGCAACTGCCACACAAGCCAAAACAATAAAACAATAGCTGCCGAGTCCATGCAGCACCCGCACAATTGTGTGGCAAATGATGCATGAGGTAAATAAACGAAAGCCCCAAAATGAAACACAAAAGGAAAACCACCTCGAAACCAGATCGAGAGCACGACTATTAGCCACCCGGTAAGGGGATTGCCTTGAGGAGATAGTAAATTAATCAATATAGCTGCAGCTCTTTTCATATACCTGACTTTTCACAAATCGATCATGTTCGATACATATCGATCTATTAACTAAACTTCTAACATCTCTAGATTTTGCGTTTTTATTCTTCATGATTCTCTTGCAAGACATCCACAGGATATCCTCAGAGCGATAACATTCGATATATGTATATCGATCTATTAACTAAATTTCTATCATCACTAGACTTTATGTTTTCATTCCTCATGATTTGCTACGAGACAAAAACAATATACAAATATCTTTAAAATAATATACACATATATGTAAATATTAAATGTAGACTCTATAAGAGATTTCAAATACCTGTTACAAACGACCTCCCACAACGCATATACCCCTTCATTAACAGGGTATGGAAACCAAGATAAAGCAAAATCGAATAAACATTGCAATTGGAATTTATCTAGACCTCAGCATGGCCACAGCCGCAGCCGCAGCTCAGATATGTGCTGGCTGTAAAGGGTTTCGCCGTATTTGTCAATAGAAAATCAAATTTAATTTCCCAAATAATTTCCATTTCCGTTTATGTTTATGCCATGAAGCACTAAGCTAAACGAACTTTAATACCCACAGATGACAAAAACTGATTACAATCAAAGTGTTGTTCAACCCTTGGCAACATCTCTGAGTGAACGTGTGTGGGTGTGAGCGAATGTGTGTGTGTGTGTGTGGGTGTAAGTGAGTGTGTGTGTGGTTAGCCCAAGTGAAGCAGCTGTGAATCTGATTACACCTAAAGTGCTAGGGCAAGAAAAACAAACAACAACTAAAAGTGTTCTAGTCGGGAGTGACCGACTAGCAGATACCACATAATAAGAAACTAATATGCTTGAATGATATAGTTTCTTTATAGGTCCGAATAATACCTCTCTTAGTTTCTATTTAACAATGGGATAATATTAAAAATCACAAATATATAATAATGAATTTATTGCAGTGTTCCACATACCGATTAGAGTTACTATGGTTAATTTTGACTCCTATTGATAATCACAAAATTACATATAATAAGTTATGATATATAATTAAAAATATCAGGTCCCTCTAGTAGATCACAAATATACATAGTATACCTATATACTCCATAAACTCAGCTTTGTTCTATCTGTTGCGAACGCTTACACCTACTGGTGTTTACCCAAATATTCACTTTTCCACTTGAGTTCAGGGTATGGCCAAAAAATAAAAATTCGTGAGTAGGGGAAAAGGAGCGAAATTCGATCACGTAAATTGAGTTTACGCTTTGAGTCGCTGTTGAAGCAAGCAAAGAAAAACATTTGCGGCAGCACGTAGCTCGCTGAAAACGTATTTGCCGTGCATGCGGTATTTGTTTAAACAGCGACTACTCCAACAAAAAAAGTGAGGAAAATGAGAAAATCATATATGAAAAGCAAGAAAAAGAAAAAAAAAATCAAATAAATTGAGGTTAGGTCATGATTGCTGCTTGAACTTTGGCAACAAGTTGGATTGTCTTGGCCATTTCTGCACTTAAGCTGTGCAACTGTTCAGCTGTTGACCACCAAACGTGCCGGCCATATGTCCAATGTCGAGACAGAGATCATTATCAAAAGAGCTAAACAAATTGAGGTTAGGTCAAACTTGATAGTTGAAGCTGGCGTGAAATGGTGGGCTAAGACTGAAAACATCTAATGAATTGGTAAAGTCTTTGGAAGTTTTTGTAATATATCTAGAGATCAATCAAGAAAGTTGGGAAAATTTGAGGTTAAGTCAGACTTGAGCAAACGTTAAATCGAATGATTCCAACAATTTGTTTGAGTTTGGAAAACTAATGCAGACGAGATAAGAGTGTGTAGGCTTTTGATGTATTGATGAATTGAGGTTAGGTCCGAGCTGGCAAAGGAAGTCTCTAAATTGATGCCTCAATATATTTAATATGTCCTCTTGACATCATTTAATATATTTCTAGAATCATACAGTAGTAAAAACAGATAATCATTCACTGTGTGTTTGTCGAGAAGCAAACAAAACGCATTTTCCAAAACTGTCAAAGGGAGCGAACTAAGGAGTCGAAGAGGGGGAAAGCTAAAGAGCGAACAGATGTGTGTGTGTGTGTGAGTGAGCGAGCGAGTCAGCGAGTCAGCGAGTGAGCGAGCAAGCGATCGAGTGAATGTTTGTGTGGGGGAGTGAACAGGGGGCCAAGCCAAAGTGAATTAGGTGCAGCGCAGTGCTGTAAAGTGCAGAATGCAATGCAGTTATATGCAGTGTTGTCAAATGTAAAATTTGGAAAAATGCGTTTCGGTTTCAACTGATCGAATTCGTGTGCTAGGCTGCTGTCGCTGCTTAGATGTGCTGCCCGAGGGTGGTGACCAGCTTGATCAGCTGATTGCGCTTGGCCTTGATGACATCCTGATGCAGGGGCTGCACCCCATCGACACTGTCATAGCGATTCACATAGTCGGTGATCTGGTCGGCCATGCAAATGACATGGATGCCGCAGTCGTAGTCGTTGCTCTGCTGGAGGCAGCGCATGCCACGGAAGCGAGCGTGCTGCATGTCCAGCACATCCTTGATATTGTTGACCAGCTCCATAGAGCTGCTCGTATTGCTCCCGCCATACGAATCGAAGTGAAAGAAGCTCTTGTCTGGCCGCGAGGCCACCACCAGCGACCAGTGGGCGCCGCCTCGCTCACGCGACTGACTATCGTTGACCGCTATGAAGAGGAACGGCTTGCGCAGCACCTGATGCTGTGAGACGAGCAGTCCGTGCAGCTCCTTGTCGTCCATGTAGAGCATGCACTGCGACATCTCCGGTGTGACAAAGAGAAAGTCCGTGTTCGACTTGTACTTGATCTCCTCCAAATAGGCGAAATAGAAATTCAATATGGCATCGTTCAGCCAGTGCGGTCCGTGCAACAGCTGCACATCGCTCATACGCAAGGCGTTCTTGCTGAGCGATGCCAGGATGGGATCGGCGCGCGAAGCCTTTGGCTTCTTGGTGTGCATCACATTGGTGGTGCTGCTGCTGCTGCTCGAGCTGGCTGGGCACATGTTGTTGTTGTTGTTGTTGTTGCTGTTGTTGTTGTTGGTGTTGTTGGTGTTGTTGGTGTTGCCATTGCCACTGCCATTGCCATTGCCACTGCTCTTCTGCTGATCGTTGTGGCCATGGCCATCCTGATCCTTGCTGCTGTCGTTGCCATTGCCATTGGTGTTGCTGTTGGCATTGCTGTTCATCTCGTTGCCATGGCCATCGCCCATGGCCTGCTCGTCCAGCTCGGCGTTGATTAGCTTCTTGCTGCCATTGGCCGTCTCATCAGCGGCAGCTGTGGTAGCCCCTTGGACGCGTCGCTCGGCGCGTTTCTTCTGGCGCACGTTGCGCGGCATCTTTGAATTGAWTGTATTGATTGATTGTGAGTTAACTCCCTTTGTTGCTCGTCAGCCGTGTCCAATCTCTGTGAAGATTGGGCGAATTCGACAGAGCTACAGAAATAGAAAAAATAATCGAAGAATGAAGAATGCAGATTGCAGAATCACAGAGAGAGGGAGAGAGAGAGAGAGAGAGAGAGAGTTCTAAGAATATGAGTAAATTGGAATTTTCATTTAATACTTACGCAGAATTCAAGTCAATGTGAATTTCAAGTCAAAATCCAAAGAAATAGTCTGAGTTTGGGTTCCTTTTGTTTCTGACGAGTGTTACACTAGCCATGTAGCCTACTCGGTTTTTAGTTTTTTCTGTTACTGTTATCAGTTTTTTCTAGGCCAACTTCAATAAACTGTTCCCAGCTAATCGTTAATCGTTCAGTTCAAATATCGATTGGCATTTGACTTTTGTTTTCATTATCAAAACTCATTCAAGAGAGGCAGAGAGAGCGGGAGAGAGAGAGGGGAAGAAACCACTTTCAAGGTGGACGGGTGAAAAGAGAGAGTATAAGAAGTTTCTACATCTCAGCTTCAAATTAACACATCAATAGCTTTGCGCTTATCGATACATTGCGATAAATTTCAGCTATGCAACAAAATATCGATATCAATATAATAGTTTGACAAATGGAATATACTTGTGTAGTGTGTGTGTGTGTGCTTATTTCAGCATGTGTGTGTAGCCTGTATCTCTCTGGGCTCAGCTGCGCTTGACATTTGCCCAAGCTCCTGTCACAAATCCAGTTAATTAATTTAAGTGTAATTGTATTTGCTTATCTGGGAGGCTGCGATGGAGATAAATACATACATACATACATTTAAGTTTATTATAAGAGTATTTCCAGAAAGGTCTGCTCTAGTACCGTGCGAATCCCTTGGTTTTTTGTAACCATCTTGAAACGCACCAATTTTAGTGATCATCAGCTATATCTATAAGTGTTATAAATATGATAATAAAGTTTTTTTTTTTTTTTGGGCATTTGGTTAGCACTGGAATTAGTGACTTTTCAATATAATTAAATAAAACAAGTAAGAAAGCTCTAGTCGAGACTGCTTGACTGTGAGTCCCCATTTTCAATGGGTTCAGGGTATAAAAATAAAATCATTGTACCCTGATTTCCCATTTTCAAATATGGAGGAATCCACATATAGGGCAAAAATTTAATTCAATAATAATTCTTATTTTCATTCATACTTTATTTTTCATACTTATTTTTTTTTTATTTGTTAAAGCCATACGAGGTTTTTCAATAAGCCCTTTGTGAGCTTATTATCTGTTCATTCAGCCCTTTAGGGCGCGCCGGCAACTTACGTTACTGTCGCAATTTACGAATATTTACAATTACAAATATTTACAACACAATACAATAATAACACAATGATGACAGCTATATGTCAACTCCTGTTGACCGTCATCCGGGGCGATCGGAGAATCAGGCCCCTTGGTTGTCTCCTTTTAAGCCTCCTAGGAGTTCTGTTTTTCCTACTTTTATTTTCTTTTCTTTGTATTTTAATGATTGTTCAAATGCGTGGATTTCTACAAGGAAAGCCGTAATTGTCATTCCATTCAGCTTGATTTGGAAACTTTAGTTTGATTTTTGTCAGTTGTCAACGGCTTCAGATTTGCGCAGATTCATTTGCATTAAAGAGTTTCAATCCTACAAAGGAAAATGAGTTTGTAATCAGAAATTCTTCTTGTAATACTTACAGCTATGGAGATCTAAGCTAGAATATTCAGATAGGCAACTCCCTCTAGGTGAGCGTATTGCCCAGTCGAGCACTCTCCACTCTCGAGCACTGTTCCTTTTGGGTTTTTTTTTTTTTTTTGCTCTGATTATTTTAACTCATTTCTTGTCGGTTTCATTTTTGCTGTTGCGCGCGGTCAGGATTTATTTAAAGGGATTTGTCGTTCTCGTCGTTGTCCTCCGTAATTTCATTTGCTTGCCAGATGCGACGTGCGCATATGCCGCGCCGCTGCCCCTGCCCCTGCCGCTGCCCCTGCCCTTGCTCTTGCCCCTTTCTCCACCCCGCAGGGTCCCTCCAGGTCCTGCTGCTTGCCAATAGCTGTGAAAAATAACATTAACGCGACATTCTGGCAAAAAAAAAAAAAAAAAAAAAAAAGAGAAAGAAGCGAAAAAATGGATGGAAGGCAGCACATAATACTTATGAAGAGGCCAGCGTGTGCGTGACTCATTTGCATATAGGCACACACACACACACACACACACACATTAATATACATGTATACATATATATGGCATATATAGGTCTGTGTCTATGCGATATGGACTTATCCATGCGACCGAAAATCTCCTTATCCCATTTGGTATTGTCATTTCGAGGCTGTTTATGGCCTGCGGCCGGGGCCGTTCGTCAGCTCATTTAAATTAACAGTGGGCGGCGGCGGCGATGCGAGGAGGTGCGGCAGGATATGAAAGGACATGCCGCACAGTCGACGCCATTTGCACTTCATTTTTTGTTCGTTTTGCTGGTTTTTGTCAGATGTTTAAGAACTTTAATAAATCGATTTGTGGCGCCCAAAATTGAATTTGCTTCGCTGATTTTGCTTGTTCAACACGTTCGCGAATACCCTGTAAAGAGCGGTAGGTAAATAAAGGGTAGCTACAATTGCTGTGTGGCTGGTTGACCATTTGGCTTAGGCGCAGGCATACCTATGTATATGTATGTATATGATGTAAGGCTGACACTGACTGGCGCCTTACAACACTGGTAGCTGCAAGCGCACAGAATTGAGACTCACAGACGCACACAGAATGTGAATCATCGTTGCACAGGCTGCAAGCTACAATTTATTTAAGTGTCAATTTCAAACACTATTTTTTAACATTGTGCAACACTGGCAAATGGAGGCAATCAGAGCTGATACTCTCTGTAGGTTGTAGCTATAGGGTAGTTGTTGCAATTACCCCATATTCACACACACACACACACACACACACGCATACAGTCACACATTCATACGCACACACAAGCACATAAACACTTACGCTCATTGCACAACACTGGCAAATGCAAGCGATGCACAGCACTGGACCGCAGATGCAGCTGCTGGCAGTGGCTCTCCATTCAAGTTTAATATGCATGCAGAACAGAGAGCTGGCGCATCGGGTTAAAGCATCAAAGCGTCACAGCATCAAGGCATCAAAACGTCTAACCGAATGCTCCAGGGATGCTGTCGTGTTGGGCAGCTTTGGGATTACGCAAGCATCCGCGAGCAGCTATGAAATCTGAAATAGCAAAGGCTACTTAAAATGCAATTATGACATTACTGAAAGGGAGGGCGGTGCACACAGAGACAGCGCGTGAGAGAGAGAGAGGGCGACATGTATAAGGATTAGGGAAGATATGCAGTCTGGCAAATGGAAAATATGAAAAGCGCAGCGAGCAATGGACAAGCTCGAGGAGAAGATGCGAGGGGCAAGAGCGAGAGGAAGGAAGAAAAAACGTGAGCAGTTTACCTGATGTGTGGGAGTGTAAAGTACATGTGAGGGCGGTCTATGAAGATAGCACTGGCCAACAAAATTCTATAATATTAACAAGTAAGAAGGCTCTGGTCGAGACTGCTCGACTAGGAGACACCCTGAACCCTCTATGCTCGCTCTGCTAAATGCGAGAGGGCTAGAGAGATGGGCAGAAACCTTTAGGGTTCAGTGACCTTGAGGAGGCAGTGGCCTTGAATGACCTTAAGGAGGCAGTGACCTTAAGAAGGAGGTGACCTCGAGGGGCCAGTGACCTCGAGGGGCCAGTGACCTCGAGGGGCCAGTGACCTCGAGGGGCCAGTGACCTCGAGGGGCCAGTGACCTCGAGGGGCCAGTGACCCAATTATTTTCTTTTTCTGTCGTTCTCAACCTTTTTCAACGACTCTCTCCTTTCTTAATCGTTCTTTTATTACTGGCTACGATGTTCTGTTGGCTAGTGTAATTACAACATTAGAGCTCCAATCGTATAGTCCATTAAGATCATACTCAACAAATGTTAATAAATATGGTAAAATATCTCGACTTACTTTGGCTTCAGCATCATTTTGGCTAACCTTTTGATTTATTAAAGAAAATGTAAAATACTATTTGAATGCAAATTGTATTCCAATGTATAATCTTCAAAAGACTTGAATAGTTGTGAAGCAATTTGGCTTAAGAAAATTCATCAAATTTTGTCGCATAAAGTAATTCCTGTAGCTCCATTTTGAGAGTGGACTGTTTTTTGTTGGCCTTTTTCGCTTTTAAGCAGCTTACAAAGATGTTGGCAATATGCTCCCATGATATTGTGCATCCAATTGGAAGCGCCCAGAGGGCGGGGATGGAGGCAGAGGTCAGAGTAACCATAAAACCAAATGGAAGCAAAATCGAGCGCAAAATCATAACAGGCAAAATAACATGCGGTGGCAAAGATATTGCATTCAATTACGCCCATGGGCTGAGCTAGCAGTCCGAGAGGTAAGTCAGCCATCTGCAGACGAGCGTATCCGACTGCATAAGGTTCGTGCGCACTCGATGGAGACGAATCATATCCCCGGCATTTCCATCAAAAAACAACCAATATGCTCACTTTACGTTGCATAAACGAGTATAAAAATGCCTTATAAATCTGAAATAAAACTCTTTCTTTCATACATCTGAAAATATATATTGATA